TCTAGCCTGGAGGCTAAATTAAATTCCTCAAATACAGGACTGCCTCCAATTCTTGAAGGCACTACAGTCATACTGAAGACAACCATCTACGCATTTTATGTGCAGGCACACACAGTGCCCAGGCTCATGCCACAGCGCCAGTGCACAATTACTCCTGCAATACAAGTCACCTTTTCAGGATGCTCTCTATCAATAACAAGGAAGCTGTGTGGAGGTGCGTAGAGACCAAACTTTCAGGTGGTTAAAATGAGGTGGAATGACTCCTTAATAACTTCCTCCAAGGAAGCTTCAGTTATTCCTAGATACCAACCCCTGTAAGACATTCTGCTCAGTTTCTCTGACATAGGACTGACTACAAGAATAGAAAGTGTATCAGCTATTTTTTTACTTTCACTCCTACTAAATCAAGTTTGAACTGTTTATGAAGAACCTCGAGCGTTGCCAGCTGCACAGGGAATTCAAGAGGAAGCGGCTGGTGGTTCCATTCACAAACAGGACCAGCTTCACTCATTTATAGGGTTGCAGAATGCTTTTATTTCAGCTGTCTTCGTGAATGCGGGTGCCTGTTCTGAAACAGTGTGCTTGGCTGGCCTGAAGTCAAGGGGAGGTGGGGCTGTACCAAGTTAGCATCTTTTGAAAAAGATCTTTTGAAAAAGAATCAGGCCCTTAGAGTGAAAAGACAAAGGGTGAACACAACAATGGACATAACCCCAAATTAGTAGCCAGATTTTTAAAGCACAGCTTTTCGCTTTTCTATTAGCTTCCCTTCTTAAAAACTGATGAGCCTCACTGGGGCATTGTTTTACCTGTGATAATGCTGCTTGCTTTGCAACTCTCTCAGGGTACCAAATGTATTTTAAAAGGCAGCTTTGGAAAGATTAGAGCAATTTGCAATGTGACAGACCCTAAGAGACGTAACAGTTGTGCATACAGAGGGTACTAGAGAGCTAAGCTTAGACACATTCTTTAAAGTTTTTTAAAGACTTAAAGCAATGTGCCATTTTCTTTAGTCTTTGCATTACTTAGCAAATTGACTTTACTGAGCTAAGCAGTGTAAATGCTATTTCATATTTACATAGAAGCGGCCTTAGTGCTTTGCCCTTAGCACTGGTAATTTGGTTTCTACAGATAAGTGCTGGTGACTGATGGGTTTATGAAATGGTACAAATCTTACTGCTTTTCTTGCTTGGTTCTCATTAATACCGATAAACCAACTTGACTGTCAAATAAAAAAGCCACCACCTTTGCTTTGTTCTCTGGATTTTGCAAATTAAATGGCAATAATTCTCCTAACAGTCCTGAAGCCCTCATGTCAGCACTTCGCACAGCATCATGGTGATACCGGGATGTTTTGGCAGAGGAATAGCTTCTCCCTTGTGTCTGATTAACTGTCTGCTACAAAAAATACAGAAAAGAATTGTCTATCAGTTCTCTGTAAGCCTGTGATGGAGAACCTATATACTACATATGTGATGGTGAAGAAGGTGCATTTTTCTTTGTATTTCTCTGTGAAATTAATGAAGTAATAATCAACAAATTATTCCAAAGGTATTTATTTCTTTCTTGTACATGAATTAAAAATAAAAATTTATCCAAAAAATGGAACCACAATTTATTGAAATATATAATCTTGTTCATACATCAAGCATTTTTTTAAATATAAGATAGAAAAATAGAAATTTAATCTTGGACCCACATAATATTCTTACAGTACTGCGTAGAAAACAATGTTAAAATAAATATTTTTTTCCTTGAAAAGGGACAGTGCACATTGCTTAACCAGACAGGCATAAAGGTAACAAAAGAATTCAGTGCAGATTTCTAAAATAAGCATTCAGGTTACATTTCATTTCATACATGATTTTGAAATGGTTAACAGTTCAGGTTTTTCATATTCTAAAACAGAGTTAATCAGAATCAGTTGAAAAGAAAGTTGAATAAGCTATTGCCTCTTTGTCTTGAAATTTAGTTTTCAGTGATGTCGTAATAAACTCTTCTTGGAGTTCTCGTTTGACTTGAAGTTAGGAAGAATTTGCCAGAGTGGAGCAAAATAATTTTTTGCTTCTTATCAAGAATGCTTCAAATATATTCGAGCTTTACAGAACATTTTGGCCATTTGCTGTAGGTGTCTGTGAACTGGGTTCATAGCTAAAATTTATTGAAGTACACATTCATTATGTTCAAGATCATGTCAATTATTACTTTTTAAAAGTTTTGTAGCAAAAATTTAGATATTAATGGTAGTTTGATAAACAGGTATTTAAGTTAAAAACATCAGACTGCATCTGACACAGATCACTTAAGGATTTCATTAGCATCCATTTTATGCATATTTTATGTAGAGTCAGGTTGGCATTTTGGTTGAAGTTCACTCCACAGGAAGTGTCTCTTATGTGAGTAAAAAAAAAAAAACAAAAACAATGAGGTTTGTTTGTTTTTTAACCTGGGAGATTACATAAATTTTGGTTTAGTTCTCAACAGTTATTTTATACATGTTTCTAAGGTTTCAATCCCTTAGAATAAGTAAAATAAAAATACACCTTCTCCATCTGCACTTCTGAACACACATCCTACCTCAAGATTTAACACTTCAAGAGTCAGACTGTCCGCACAACCAGAGCTAGATGACATCTTCTGGATAATAGGTCAGGGTTGGACAAAACCATGCAAATCAAACTCAGTGAAATTATTTTTAAAAATGTGAATATGCTAAAAAATAGTTAACTTTTTTTTTTTTCATTTTGGATGATTATGTGTCTGAACATTAGACTTCTAATCCAAAAAGGTAATCTTGATGAATCTGGCTAGATTTTGAAAAAGAAAGGAGAAAACTGCATGCAACATATTTTGGGTATGCAGCTTCTAAAACTTGTAATTATGGCCACTAAAATGACTCTGTTAAAACCCAATTAGTACAAAAAAAGAAAATTAATGCAAAATCAATTATTGAAGACTAGCTCAAGGATGCTGTGGGTCTGACCCTGTAAAATACTTAGGCAGGTGCTTAATTTTAAGCATGTGAGTCATTGTGCCAAGAGATATTTTATGGTGAACACTAATGCACAAATATTAGTTAGACTGGCTCTTCCACTTCGAGATAAGCATGGACATAAGTGCTTTGCTGGATATGGATCAGGATGCTCAGCACCTAACAGGACTTTAGGCGCTGATCCAGCAAAGCACTTATCCACACGAACAACACTGCTGACTCTAAGATCACTGCTCATGTGCTTAACATTAGGCATGCTCGTAAGTGCTTTCCTGGAAGGGCCCGATAGACCAATAGTGTAGAAGCTATAAAATTTGAAGCAGTGTATGTTTAACACACCGCATATTTAACAATGTTAATCTGCTGAGATTTGCTTTTTCTTGGAACAGGGCATGTCTAACTTCCAGCATTTATTTTCAGAAAGTGTGTAAAAAAAAGTCTTTAAAAGCTGCTTTGAGATTATGGCAAGTTAAAGTAATATTAGCGAGTCTCCTTATGCTCCTTTCATTTCTTCTTTGCACGTCTTTGTGCAGTCATCTAAAAAGGAAAGAGAAAACCCTAGTCATAAACATTAATCTATTCAAATAAACATCCATGCATTTAATTTTTCTCTAAAAAACACCAAGTCAGGTGCAACTAAACACCTGAAAACAAGCATCACTGAAATTCTTCTAGATTTCAGATCTGAGAGCATATTCTGACAATTATGCCGCCTTTTCCACTGAAAATATTCAAATCACCAATTGGCACTTCTACAAATAAAACTAAGTTTATTACTTAAGACTGGTGTGCAAGTTCAAACCTTACATATCCCTAAGTCAGTGCTGGTATTTTCATATGAAGTTTTCCATGCCCGCTGATGTCAATACATTTACAATGTGAAGTCTAAAAAAATGGAAAAGTAAGAGCCGCTTAATCCCAAAACAACAACTATAAAAGCATCACAACTCATCAGATATTTACATGAACATGCAGAGATGGCATGTTAATCCAGAAAAAGAAATAAAGTAAGACCACATTTCTATAATGGTGCTGGCATATTGTTTCATGCTAAGCTAACCAAAGAAGAAATAGCAAAGCAGCGCTTCATAATGACCTACTGCTACTGCTGGCCAGGCAGAGAAACTATATTTAAATCCTTGTTGTGGTAGGAAATATTGTTTTATGTATTTGGCACCATATGCTCTTCATAACTTCTTACAGCTACATGTTGAGGAAGTTTCAAAGTTACTAAATGTATTTCATTCTTTCCTAAAGGGAAAAGAGTTCTTGTTTTCACGTGAAAGCTCTAATGGCTTTTGGAAATGGCTTATTTTTTTTTTTTGTCATGCACAAATTCCTGCTCAACCAAAAGCAGAGTCACTAAAAAAATTACTATTGTTTTAAGTTACGGCATAGCTGACAGCTGAAGTCGAGATGTGATACACTAAAGCACAATGCATCTAAGCACAGCGGAAGAACTCTAGAGTTAGTCCTTGCATACAGTGGCAGATGCAAAAGTCATGTACAGAGAAAGAAAAAATAATATTCAGTACCCCAAATCAGGAGTCAGCACAAAGGCCTCCCATCTCCATCAGAACAGTTCTCCTTCTGTCCTAAATTTTGACCAGAGAAACTGGGATTTTTTTCTTAGAAGAAAGGTTCTTGAACTGTTCAATGAAAAGATGCATTTCCAAAATTTCACAAAAATTTTGAATTATTGAAAACCAAATCCCTAAAACTAGCAGATTTAAATATTCAGAAGAGCTTCTACTATATATCTGTCCTACCTCACAGTTCTAACGTAACTTCCTCCCATTCTTGGTTTTTCCACTCAAACATCTAACCCATGTTTTGCCTGCTTTCTCAACATCTTCTAGTGCTTGGAATTGGCTTTCCATTAATAGATACACAATTCTTTTCCTCTTATTTACCAAAATACTCTGTAAGATGTTGCATACTGCACAAAACTTCCCCAATTAACATGACAGTATGTGACTGATTTTTTCCTTTTTTTTTTTTTTTTTAATTCCATAACATTATCCTGTGCTTTTGAGCGGTGGCTTTCAAAAGCTGTCATCACTGGTGCAAGCCTTCTCCTACTGATATGAAGTTGGGGGGTTTTTTGACTGTCAAATAAACTGCTGGGCTAGGCTGAATGTTTTTCAAAATATAACCCTTCCAGTTCATGACTGTAGTTGCTCATTGTGGGCTCACCCAACACTTGTTCTTCCCAGTCATAGCAAAGACCCACTGGATAAACCAATACATGCTGCTACAGGGCTGGTCTTTGCTTACTAGACAAGTAAGGTAGGAAAAAAGGAAGATGGCAATTCTAAATGGGGTGCACATAGAAACTGTCACACACAACGACGCCTACTATTAACATTTAAACTTGTCTGATAGTTAATGTCAGAAAAGGAAACTTTACTGATAGGGCTGGTGAAAGAGCCACACAGCTCTTTAACCTGACAGTCACGACTGTAATCCATGGGTTGTAAATGGCAGCAAGTAAGTCTGAAGGGGAAAAATGAGTGTTCACAAAAATTAAAAACTCCTAGCTTCTCCGAAACTTCCCATTATGAAGGGATATAGGCAGATTCTCCACTGAGCTGAAGTAACAAAGAATGACATATTTTAAGTGTCTTTCTAAAACACACATTGTAGTTGATCTACAGTAATGACTCGGTGCAACAACTGGTGGACAAAACGATGAGTGTTGTGCAGAACAGGCTAGACCTATGCAAGTGATCCCAGTGACCCCACCTCTTTTGCAGTTCTGTGAATCAGGGATGTTGCAACATAGCAAGCAGCTATCCCTCTGAATATATAGGAATACTCTGTAATGAGGAAAGAACACACCAAAGAGTCAGTAGTGTGGTTTAAGTAACAGTCCTACCTCACACAAAACTTCATGAAACTAAATGTTATCTAAGACACTCTTAAGCTTTTCAATACAGCTCCAAATAGGCTTCTTCAAAATCCCCAGTTTAAATAAAATAAATCTTTCCCTAATTACTTTTGTAAGGACCTATTGACCATGGAACTGAGCATAAAAATACCCTATATTGCCATGGGTTAAGAGATTTATCATGTAAGCTTAGAAGTGATAATGTAATTCTTTAAGGATTAAAACAGGAAAATACCAAAACCCCTTAAGAAATGTCCTGAAGTTTAACCCAACTCTTGAAACATACAACAAATACAACAAGCGCAAATTGGTTACACAAAGCACTTTATTGCAATACAGGCACATTGATATTTGTTGCAATTTGTTTCTACCATATTGAAAACAACCCAAATCCCAATATAGACACTATCTTTGCCTTGATAATTTTCCACCAATGGCAGCGCTTGCATCAGCACTTAGATTTGGGTCAACATAAAAATCTAGCAATACCATTCTACTCTGGTGTTATACTGGGTAAAAATCTCCCAAAAGTCTCAAAAAATAATGCTCCTTATGAATAAAAAAAATCTCTTCTTAAAAAAAATCAAAGCAGGGCAATGCTTCCAGCCCAGAATGGAGTGCAATGGAGAAAACTCCGTGGTGGCCTTGACTGAGCTTGCTCTAGAACAAGCAGCAGTATATTACAGCCTGATGTTAAACCTTGCTTCTCAGCTCACAGGACCATGCTAACGCAGCTAGGCTGTTTTCCTGACCCAAGCTGGAATACCGGCACTGTATTGCCTTGTTCCACTGAGGCATAACAGCTCTGTCCCACTCTAGCTCAGTCTCTTCATCACACTCCACCATGTACACAAACATGCCCTGCATATACTGTACTAACAAAAAAACCCTGGGAGACGTCTTTTATCTTAACAGAAAAATAACCACTGTATAAACGTCTTTCAAGAATAAGTCTTTATTTTGATGATTTAGGTTTGGAACTGAAGAAAGTAGAAATGGATTTCATTCCACTCTTATCAACTTTGGCCAGAGCCTTCTGTGCTGCAGACATCTTGCTGTTTGCCTGTTAGTGAAATGATAAATAGAAAAAGTTAAGCGGCGTCTCCATAGGAGGGGAGTATAAGCTACAAACTCCTAGATACAGAAGTCAAGCAAGAAGTTGAATGGCTTTTCTAGTATACAGCAACAAAAATAATGTTATACAGACTTGAAATTGCAGGAGAAAAACCTTACAAAACAAATTCAAGATCATTCAAACAGAAAAATACTTGTCATGAATTACTTAACCTCAGACAAAGACAGAGAATCAATTACAAGGACAAGGAGGTGAAACATCTTTCCTTTCTGCGGAATGAGGTATCCCAACTCAAACGTTTACTTTGGGATAATCCCTGAGTGTACATTAAGAGGAATAATGCATGTAATATAACAGATGCACACTGTACCTTCCGATTCAATCTCGTGATTATGCTGTCAGCAGGCTGAATTACAGCTCTGCATTACAGATGATGAATAATTCACACAGATTTATTATCAAAGACTCTATGAACAGTGAAATAAAGGGAAAAGAGATGGAAGAACTAAGAATGAAGAAGGTAACTAACATTTGCAAAGCACTTCGAGGCCACTGGGAAAACTTCCCAGACTTTTACACCTAAAACACATTTTATGAGCCACATTTTATAGAGCTGACCTCTTTTCTTTTTTACATTTTAAAATGTTATGTTTTAAATCTCTAGCTGTTTTCCCTATTAAGAGAACTTTGCATTGACCTTTCTTTATGATACTCAGTCTGCAGGACTTCACAGTTACAATACTTGGGATCAGCTAGAAGGTTATGGATAGGATAGAGATATGCAGCAACAGTACAATCGTCTGTGTTACTATACAAACAAAACCACTGCCAAAGTATTTAAAAAAGAGTAGTATACTGTAGAGAGTCCAAGAGCTATCTTTTCTTTCCCAGATTCTCTCATCAGTGTGCTTCATTATATCAGAAGTAGATCATATCTAATGTTAAAATGAATTATTCTCAGTTTATTTCTATTTTTATGCTCAGTTCAAAAGCTATAGGTACATAATGGGGGAAGGGGGGAAACATGCATATTTTGAACTACTTACAACCTTCACTTAAGGGGAAATCCTCTTACTTCAAAACAAGCATATGCCCTGAGTACACAAAATTCTGGGGGTTTTGGGGGGAGGAAGGAATGTATCTGTCACCAGCTACTTCTCTTTGCAAAGGGATAAAGAGTAGTCAGCACTAGTCTGAAGATCACAAGACCAGCACAGAGGGCCTTTCTGGTTCCCGGTGGACTGAAGAAGGATTCATTTTCTTTCAATGTTCAGAGAAATAAGCTCTTTCAATGTTCAGAGAAATAAGCCAGTGCAAGCCTCACAACCTTGGCACACACAGACAGAATTTATTTCTTTTCACATCTCTGGTGCTCTCCAAGGAACAGTACAGTGGCAAGCACCACTGGACTCAGATTTGAATTGGCCTCCAAACTATGGCTGGAGCTGGCAATAAGCAAGCTTTATGTTGATTTAACTTCATTAAATTGACATAAGTAAATGCACAAGCAATATTTCTAGGTAAAAATAAAGCCTGTCTTAGCATCCCTTGGAATTTAAGTAAATGCTGCCATCTTTGTTTCTTTTTCAAATAACTGAAATTTAACAGTTACTATCACTAAGCCACAGGATTTCTCATCTAAAGATTTCAAAGAAATTTGCAAAAAAATTAGCTGAGCACCTTAACACAGGTGTCAAAGTCTGTGAGGTTCACAGGAATGTTTACTAATAAAATACAGTCAAACAGTAACAGTTCAGAAGAGTTCAGAATGGGACATTAAGGCTATCAAAGCCAAACTAAGCCTGGAATGAAAATTTCAGTGAGATATAACTACAGACATCTGCCATTTTGTATTTATTCTTCTGATGTGTTTTGGAGAAGTAAAGTAGGCACTCTGTACTAATTGGCTTTTAATCTGTGCTTTAGCAAAATGCTCATGAATGCAAGGCTCGCTTACCTTTTTGGTTTTCAGATTGCTGCTGTTAAACTTAGTATAGACGTCTTCTGCTTCCACAGGGACATCTGATAATTTCCTTTTCTGAAATGTTAGAGTGAGGAAGTTGCTCTGTCAGCCACTTTTATGATGTACACAGATGGAAGTTTAAAGCTTTGGCTTTATAACGTAACCATAGCACCAAAATAGGACTGGCAATCAACTGAAGAATCTGCAGTAACCGTAGAAGATTTCTCTTTGTAATTGTCTTCTTTACACATATATACCATCTCTACAGTATTCAGTAAAGATCATTCAATATCATGGGAAGCATTTTCTTCTTCCTAGCCTTCTGAAGAATGACTCCTAGAACTCACTTGAATCCCATTTTCAACTTCCATGATTGTGACTTTGGTGTCAGAGTCTATTTAGAGAATCTTTATGGAGCAGCTGTTGGAAGTTAGTGTCTAACAGCCAGGGAACCTAGACTCTGGTCCCCATGGTCTCATGGAACTGTGCAGCAACTCCAGTGTTATTGCTATCTGCCAACACAAGTGGATCATCATCAGTCTATTATCTGTTTGTGCACAACCTTTAGAAGTAATTAGTTTGTACAGTTTGGCAACAGTGAAACACTGACATAGTTCTGCCGACTGCTTCATCACTTGAATCCAACAATATATTAAGAAGCTTGACTCTGCATGTGCTGGGTGCCTTCTAACTTCAGAAATAATGGAAGTGAACAGTTCTCGGCACTTCACACGATCAGGCCGTAAGAATGAATATTTCTTTCCATAACTGTGAGCATGTGTTTAGTTTAAAGGTGAAAACTTCCTGGTACATTTCCAAAAAGGGGAAAAAAGTATATAGTATTTTACAACACTGTATTTTTATTATTATTATATATCTGATATTACTACCCTGTCCTTAATATCCTGTGAAATCTAAACTGTGGCCTTCCTAGTTTTTGTGCCAAAGAGAGTGATTTTGCAAGCAACTTGGATGGTACCATACATTTTAAGATCCTGTTTTATTCATTTTGTTTATGGTGCTTGAGATCTCTCCCTCTCTCTCTTTGGCACAAAAGCCAGGTCTGCAGCTTAGATTTCTCAGCTCTTAGAACCAGATCCAACAGCTGCCTTTTCTTTTGATTTCAATGGGATCTGGATCAGCCTCTCTAGGAGGCTGTTTACTGTGCTGTGATTACATTTTCAAATGACAATCTAATGAATAATTACTACTCTCCTTTTTTTGAAATCTGATAAACAAGTTTTTAAAACTTACAACAAAACATTTGCGTTTCAGCAAAATGTTTGCTGTTTGGTTTTAGCAGAGCCTACATATTCTTCATCGACGTCTGTCATCATCTGCCAATGGCCAGGCTCCCTATGCTGACAAGCTGGACAGTACGACAATTACAACACAAGATCAATGGCTTACAATTAATACAAAGAACATGTAATTTTGATTTAATCATTAAATCACAGAGTCCAGACTGTACCCAGTTTACTCTTGTACTATAAGATAGAATCTATCAGCCTTTCTGTTAACCACTGAAGTTCCTACATCTCTCCTCCCTTCAGAATTTATTTTAACATAATTTCTAAACATGCAATTACTTTACCATAATAGGTTCCTACTATAACAGGAAATACACGTCAGACCCTTCTTTATTTGCAATATCTTTATTTGCAATCCTATAGTATGTCTGTCAATACATCTTGCCCTCATGAAGAAAAATGTCAGTGCAAGTAAACAGAAATGGTTTGAAGGATATATACCTATAGGCGCCAGTGTACGAGCTTGCCTTGCTCCTCTGAGATTGTGAAATAAAGGAGTGTTTTAATGCCTCAAGTTGCAGACTTAAACACAGAAGCATCCTACACACCCTGGTCAGTGCTTTGGAAATTAATCAGACCCTCAGCAAGATTTCACTGCCCAACAACTGAACAGTTCTAAGCTTCATTTCCTCTTTAACCAAACTGCTGAAATAAAACTATTTTTAGAAATAGATTCTCAGAACTATCCCAATGGTATAAAAGTTATTCATACATAATATGTAATGTACATCACATGTAGTTTAATATAGTTGTTGTAACATGCTTATATGGCTAATGAATATCAGTTGGCTCCTGATGTGTATTTAATATTTCTTACAGTGCGTAAAGATAATTCTTAACTGAATCAAAGGGCCAAGTAACTGTGCAGCCAGAACAACTGTCCAACCACATGGAAATAACTTATATGAATGGATATACATTGGAGAATAAATACTGTTAATAACAGTAAGGCCCAGTTATTCCTGCATGTGCTAGCTGACATACTGCTTAACAGAACAGTCACTGAACCAGCCAGAAATGAAGTTATTTTAGACTTTGTTTCAGTAAGTAGCAGGGACACTGCAGGAAAGGTCAGTGTAGAGCAACCTAGTTTCAGCAGACATAGGGTGCCTCATTTTAAATTAAATGGAAAGGATAATCAAAGTTGGGTTCTTAATTCTAGAGGTGCAAATTTTGTAAATCACATGCCTTACTTCTCTAAGCCAAAGCAAAGGGACTTGGTGTCTGAGGAGGACACCTGGAATGTAAAAGAAAAAGATGGAAGTAGTGATTCTGGATCTTTTACTTCCAACAATGTGAAAAATCTTGAAGGAAAGAGCTTCTCAGAGTAAACTATATGAATGCTCCCTCTTGTTCACACAGATGCACATGTATTCCACCCCCCACCTCCCCAAGATACTAAGAGTAAGGATAAGGAGAATTCTACAATGAACGAGGAAAAAAAAAGACTGCCAAAAAAAAAAAAAAAGAGGATTTTTTTTTTAAGGGTCAGGTAATACTGGGATAAAGTGAGAACTGCCAAAAAGTCAGGCTGAGTTAGACCTTGGAAAGGAAATTAAAACAAATAGTAGAAGGTTGTTTAGCCACAGAGGCAAAAAGAGAATCAAAAAAGAAAAAGTGGAGCTGCTACACAGTAAGGATTGGATAGATATTAAAGCTAATCTGTGTGTAGCCCCAAAATGGAATAAATCCTTTGCCTAAGTAAATTGTTTTCAATAAAGATGAAGAGGTTAAACACAGGGGCAGAAAAGAGAAATCACTCTATTCAAGATAGAATTAAAACTCAATGTGCTGACACTGTTGAGAGACTGCCTCAGAAATCACAAGTCCAGAGGGAAAACCTGGCAACTGCTCTATCGGGTAGGGACCATATTGCTGCAGAATAGCCAAACGCCCATCCATACATAAGGAGGAAAAAGCAATAGCATGCCTCAGCAGAATGGAGAGGGGGAAAAAAGTGAAAGAAGGAAGAATAATTAAGGATATGAAATAGATGAAAACTAAACATAGGTAATGCCTACCAACTTAATCTTTTTTTCTCAAAGATAACATATTTTTTGGTGACAGAAAATGTGAAGGGTTGCCAGAGGACTTGACATGGTGCCACTTAAGGAACTGAAATTACAGAAAACAGAGACTGCATAAGAATTTTAAGGTAGGTAAGAAACTGGGTAAAAGGGAAGCAAAGGCAAATAATGCAGAAAGGGATGTCACTGGATCAGATTACTAGTGGAGTGTCATGAACAATATCTATTCCAAATGTTCATTAATTGTTAATTAAAGATAACAGCATTCTAACATTTGCTGAATGTACACCACTGAGTAGCATTATGTATATCTAAAGAGCTTTTAACGCTGTGAAGAAAAAGCCAGAGAACCTTCAAGACTGGAAACATTAAAAATGGATGAAATGTACAGAAGTCTAAGATCAGGTACTAACTGCATAAATTTCTTGTAGATCAACTAAAAATTGCAGTGGAGAAAAAAACCCAACGGTGTGTCTTAACCATTCACAGAATGACTGTAAGCTATCTGGTACATCACACAACAATAGAGCAAATGGGATTCTAAGATGTAATGAGATAAAGTACTGCCAGTTAAGACAAGAAGGAAAGAATGCCATCATATTTTATCAGTAAAGGTTTTATCATGAATAATTATGTATGATTCTGGTCACCTGCTTTGAAACAATTGGATTAATCTTGGAATAGATGTAAAGAAATGTTCCTGCAATGATGAGGGATGGAGAACCCATCTTATACAACCAAGTTTGGCTTCACAAAATGAAAACACAAAGGATATCTGTTTTCCCTTTACACTCTGAGAGAATTAATGTTAGGGAGGGAAAAGAGCCATTTCAATTAAAAAAAATAAGATAATGTTAGCACAAAAGCACAGGGGATTAAATTGGCCATGAATAAATTCAAGGTGGAATTTACAGGAAGGTTTCTGAGCATCAGAGGAATGAGGTTATAGAACAGTCTTCCAAGAGAAGTAATGGAAATAAAAAAAACCCTAATGAGACTTACAGTGAAGAATGGTCAGTATATGAGAGATTATCCAACATGGTTGTCTGGGAATCCATGACCCAGGAGGTCCCTTTCAGGGTCCTCATAAATTACATATGAAAGAAAACCTATGAGGTCATATTGTCCCATCAACCTCAATAAAACTAAATAAGCAAAACATATATGAAGACTGCTGACCAAAAACATTAAATATGCTTCTCTCTTTCCCTCCCCTTTTTAAACAGAAAAAACAACCAAAATATTCCTTATAAAAAAAAATTAAGTGCCTGGTAAATTTCTTGCATTATTTCAGACTGGCTTTTCACAAGGCCAACTTACTTATTGTCTTGTACCCAGTGCTTGGCCTAGTCTAGTTTAAACAATAATTCAGAGAAATTAGTTTACAACACAATATCTTAATGTTCTCCTACCTTCAATGGTGGTTCTAGTGCTGGACTTTTAAGTTCTGGGAGCCTGAGGAACAAAAGATTTTAAGTGTACATTAAGACAGCTGGATTGTACAACCTAAATCTTATAATTCCTTTCCCACAAAGACTGCTTTGGTCATCAGGTGCTCACACATGGCATGTGTTTGCAAAATAAGTAGTTCATGGGCTCTACATTTCTGACTTAGACCACTAAAACAGAGCCAGGCACCATACAGAAACATGGGCTTTTAAAAAAGTTCTTATATCTGGCAACTAAACCAGAAGAACTTCACCTCACTTTTGAAAACCTTGGCTACTAGTGAGTTGATATTATAAAGCAAATAACATCTCTTCAAGCTGCAAATTGCACATTTTTCCATAGGCCACCATAACAGAACACTTTGAACAGAACTGAATTGAAGGGCAGATGCAGGGTCCCAGTGATGCTCCAAGCAAAGTCTGCTGCTGGCAGGGAACACCAGGATGAAGATGCCGGCTCTCCTTCCAGATTTAAATATCAGCTTAACACAGGTTAGATATGTGAAGTCAAAACCCCAGCAGCACTGAATGAGCACGGAAAAGGAAAGAGGACTGGGAGTAAAGATTCTACTCCTGGCTCTGCTGCTTGTTGTTTGACAATTCTGGACAAATTGCTTTAACTCTTTGGATTTCCTGCTCCCCTTGTTTTCAAATGGGATCCATTGCTCAGGGTTTGTCCTGGTTTCAGCTGGGATAATTTTTTTTCTAATAGCTGGTATAGTGCTGTGTTTTGGATTTAGTATGGGAATAATATTGCTAACACAGTCGTGTTTTAGTTGTTGCTAAGTAGTGCTTATCTTAAGTTAAAGATTTTTCAATTTCCCATGCTCTGCCAGCAAGCAGGTGCACAAGAAGCTGGGAGGGAGCATGGCCAGGGCAGCTGATCTGAACTAGGCAGAGGAATATTCCATACCACAGAACATCATACTCAGTATATAAACTGGGGGGAACTGGCTGGGAGGGGCAGATTGCTGCTCAGGGATTGTCTGGGCATTGGTGAGTGGGTGGTGAACAATTGCATTGTGTCTCGCTTTTCTTGGGTTTTATTTCTCTCATTGCTGTATTAATTTTCATAACTATTATTACTATTATTGTTAATTTTACTTCATGAAACTGTTCTTATCTCAACCCATGAGTTTTACTTTTTTTTCCAATTTTCCTCCCCATCCCACTGTGGGGGGAGGAGTGATTGAGTGGCTGCATGGTGCTTAGTTGCCAGTTGGGGTTAAACCATAACAGGGTTTCATGATGCAACTGTGATAACTGACATATCAGGTTATATATTACATCTCCCTACCAGCCCATGGTCCTTAGCATCATAGGAACAACAGAAATACACAACCTACATTTTAAAAAAAAGTTACAGTGTGGTAAATATGATCTCATTGTGTCACTCACTGCAACCCTGATGGAACAAATCTCAGTATTCAATAGAAATGACCAAAAGGACATTAATGTATGCCATATAAAACTAGCAGCTATCTGGAATGATACTTACCCCAAGTATTTTTGCAACTCCTTACTCAGATCTTCAGGAATATATTCTGATATTAATCCATGGGCATATCGTACATAGTCTTCAGGAACAGGGCAGGGAGTGGGAAGAAGAAACAGAACATTCACATTATACAGTCACGTTGCCTTAGCCATGTTGCATGTGCTACCATAAATCATGAGGTTGAATTAATAGTAAGAGACTTATAATGGATACACTGTGATGGCTCTCTGTGTTGAGTAGTTTATGTTATATGACACTTGTAGGTTTATTTTAAAAGTAAAGACTTACTACACTCACTTTGTCAACACATGTTATTAATATCTGCTGTACATACTTCACAAAAGCTGTTCACTTTCTGAGAATACTAGATACCATGTATATTTCTGAAGAAATTAAATTTTAAAAACCTGTAAAAGTAAAAAGCTGACTCAACAGAACACGCAATCATTAATTTTAAAGCATCTGGATCTTACAATTATTTGGCAAGGGCTTCAGTACTAAAGTACATTTTCTGGCTTCAACTGAAAACAATTAGATGAGACAATGAGTCTATTTCAAAGTCTTGTGCTTAATTTCAGTACTTTACAGAAAATGCCAAGGCCTATCTAAACATCACTGGCAAGAGGGGATAATTATCTGTGGAAATATGAACTACTAGAAGCTGTTTTCAGTACAGGGCACTCCTGATACAAATGTTTTTCTGAGAGATTGGAAAAAAAAATTGACCTTTTCATAACTTGAAGTCCTAAACCAGATCTTTTCCGGTCACGTGCTACACAAGTACTTACTGATCATGGGCTGGATCTTTTAAACTTGCTGTTGTTGGTGTTGCTAGGGAGTAACAGCACCATGCTCAGGAAGTATTTGCCAGACAGACATTAAGCTAAAATCTCACCTCTGAATTCCATCTACAACAGGCCAGCTTTATCTGTTCATATGCATACACACGTAGAGAGTTCAGAAGCATGTGGTGACCTAGCCTCAGTATTGTAAAGAACTATTTCTTCTGTGCCAGAGATAGCTTCCTCTTTTTTTAATCTAAAAAGCCCAATGCAAACTGACACTGATGCAGAAAGCATAACAAACTGATACCAGCATATGCATTTCAACTATACTGACATCAAATTTTTAGTATCTCCTATCTGCACTTCTTCCTCCGCTGCCTAGATTCATCAAGGATTTGTCACTCTCTAAGCCCACTTTAGGGTCAAGAGAGAACAAGAAAAAGTTCCAATCCAAGACAATTTCACCTCAGCACTTAGGATGTCCAATTTATTGCTTAAGAAAAATATTCCCATCATTTCACTCTTTGCATATGACACTGAAGTCAACTGCTATTATTCTGTACTAAACACAAAATCCATTCTTTTTGCATTTCTTCCTTGAAGCAATCTTCACTGACTTCCTTTAGCAATTTTAAAATACTACTGTTTGCCTTCTAGGGAGTCTGCGTTCTCACCCTAGCTTTGCTTTGATGTTAACCTCCTGTTAAACATCAGAAATACTTGTGCACCTGCCTTCTTTGTCTTCTGAATGAAATATTCCAGTCTCGCATGTTACACTTCCCCTCCTTCCCCATTTGCACCCATTACATCCTCCCAGATTTTTGCCCTACAACATCTGTAGATGCTAACTACATATACCCATCCATTTATAAGGTACTGAAATTTCACAATACCCTATGAAAGCAATTCTCTACAGAAATAAATTGCACTGTCATGGCAGTGAAAGGATCAGACAAGAAAATTAGTCTTATTAAAAATAAGTGTTAAGTAAGGTCCATTTGACTTCCCATTATTCACCCTGCTACATACAGTGGGAGTGCCTCCAAAACTTACCTACTTTTAATCCCCAGTATTCCCTATTTCAAATCTAAAAAAGGCTTTTGAAAAGACTATAATATATCCATGTTACTGTAAGTAAGTAGGAAGGTAGAAAAAACACTGCAGATGAGCTATTTTATTACAAGTTTCAGAGATAAAGTATTTAAGCATAGTCAATATGGTTGCTGTCAGGACAATTTTCCCTTTCTTTAAAAAAATGGGGGTGAGGAAAAGGATGAAAAGCTACTGTAAAGTTAAAGTCACAAGTTTTCCAGCTTTGCCTCTTTTTAAAAACCATATATTACAATCTCTGTTCTATAAAACTGTCTAGTTGCCTCTTAAATCTCATTTATGTTGTTTCCTTTGATATCATTACTTGGTAACTCATTTTCCCCTTCGTCAGCAAGTTGCTTTGTTTCTCCTTAGTTTTCAACAGCATGCAGACTTCTGAATGTCTTTGTAACAAGAAACAATTTGCTTTTTTTGTCTTGTTCTAAAGATGTCTTAATTTTCATTAACATTCAAACAAATTATTCCAAGTCCATTTTCAGGTTTCTCTACACAACTTCATATCCCAGTAGCATTCAGGACGTTGTCCTCCCCACAGAAAAGGTGACTAGAAGCAACCAGGATCACTCCAGACTTTTTGGTACCAGGACTGCCAATTTCAGGGCAATTTAATGCACTTTTTTTTTTTTGCCCTTAGTAAGCACAACACTTGTGTATTCTATACATTTGTCACATAAAGTAATGTCTGGACTGAGAGCTTTTACTCTGTGACTATGACTTCCTAAGATCTCTTGCCTTTTTTGAGAATTCTATGAAAAGCATTTGTATGCTAATAAAAATAGTAATTAAAAAGAAGTCTGTTCTAATACAGAAACATTTATTGGGCAGACACTCATACATATTATATGCATGTGTCCTACTGTCCAAGACAATCTCAGTTCAGCAAAGCATTTCAGCATATATTTCACTGAGAAAAACATCTTCTCCTTGAACTACAGAGAAGCTGAAAGAACCCCAGATGAAACCTACTGTTAATTACAATGTCATAAGATGAAAATACCAAAGAACTCAGAAAAGTCAAGGCACACAGTCACAACATATATGGAATTTTCTGTACAAGGAATAAATTTACTGCAAAGGCCGATTTCAATACATTTTAGATTCTAATCATGTGTTTTATCACCACATATGCAATTTCACAAAAATAGAATTCATTACAATGTTTAGTTTTCTTACCTTCTTTAGTATCTGTGGTCTGTTTACCACTGATAAATGCAGCTGCATGTACCCTTTCACCTACAGATATATTGTTGCTTTTAAGTGCTTTCACTGTTTGACTGACCTATAGGAAACCACAGAATAAAATGTCTGCATCAGTGTTTTTATGCCCATATTAATGCAGTGACAAAGCTCTTGTAATTTTGTTTCAAGCATATAAAACACTCAAGTTATGGACTGTGGTGAAATTTAATATACATTTGTAATGACTAGCATATGAGCTCAAACAACCTAAAGAAACTAGCATGTCTTTGAACATGTTGCCTTGGCAACACAGCACCAGTTTTGAAGCACCCTTAGATGAGTAGAGCTACTCAGATGCAACAGCCATGATTATACAGGTGAGAAAGACACCTGCTTGGAGAACAGAGAATGCCTGAGCTCAGCTGGATTGCAAAGACAGTCCTGATGGAAATCAAAGATAAAGGACTTTACAGGGTACTGCTATACTGGATCTAACAGAGATATAACTGGCAGAAGAAGATACATTCAACAACACAAACAGGTACTTGTTCAAATGTAAATATTCAGGTATTCATTGCAAGATAGATATCCCCATGCCTCATCATTACATTGCACTGACTAATGTAAATGACAAGGCTTCCTTGTAACATGTGATGCATACAATATTTTTCTACAAAGTGGTATCATAGTAGGGACACACATGTGTGTGTAAAATGAGATTTGCCTTCTTTATACCAAAACACAGACCACATCAAGCTTAGCTATAACACTAGTTTATTTTCTGCATACTGTACAGACCTCCTGAACAGAATGATTGGATCAGGATAGCAGCAACCACACCAGGACCATTCTGAGAGATTCTGCCAAAACTTCATGAGGAAACCCATTTGTAACAAAAAAACAAGGCATTCTGTCCAGCTTTAAAGCATGGCAGAATTTAAAAGCTGCAAGAGTCAAAGCTCTCCTCTAGCCCATCTGTGAAGTGGACAAAGCAAAAGACAAGCACCTCACCTTATGCAAAGCCTACAGAAGACAGCCAGCCCCAACAAAAAGAGAAACGTAATAAATTTGTCATTTCTCTAATATCACATTCCCAAGTGCAAGAACTTTATTGTGATATCTGTCCTTGGACAGGACACATACCTTGAACTGCGGCACAGCACATGGCTCAAATACAAATATGGACAAGCTAATAAGCATTGTCATTTTGGAAGTAGAAGAGAAACATAATACCTTTATCTTTAACCACTTCAGTGTCTTCTCTTGGCTGTATCTGTGGAATTTCTGACTGCCAATCTCTGAGAAAAAACAAGTAAGGGGAAGAAAGTAATGACTGGTTTGGACTGCATTTTCAATACATTTAAGATCTTTGAAGTTGTAGATACAGCATGAAAGTTAATTTGCAGCTTGCACATGTTTGATATCAGGGCAGTAAGTTTCAAAAATATTGGAAATGTGAAAAAATAAACAGACTGAGCTGATATCCACAAGTCTGAACAACATGACAATTCTCTAATTAGGCCCTAATCCAGCAAAGTACATATTTTATTTATTTATGTGTAATCTTGGGCTGCGTGGATTCACCGAGATTCTTCCCAAGCCCTTGAAGTTTGCCAAACCTTCACTGCCCTGTGCCACCAGACTGTATTTTAACTACACAGTTCACAACACAAAATGTTCGTTCCACGACTACTTTTTTTTTAAAACACCATATCTTAAATCTTTACTTACTGGATTCCAGCACCTAGTGAGAGAGTTGGTTAGTGAAGACAAAACATCCACCCTTTTAATAAACCCTTTTCCTATCAGTTCTCCCAGTTCTCCCCTCTGACTTCAGAGTGCGACTAAAGCAAAAGTTTGACTTCTGTCCCCCTTTTACATAGTGTCAAAAGAAAATTATTATACAGTGTCAAAAGAAAATACAGAATCCAAAATGGTGAAACACACTCCTCATGGGAGGAAGTACATGATTCATTTCTGTTTTACTGAGCAACATAATGTAACTCAATGATATAAAAATTTCAGAAAGTGTTTCCCCTGTGATAACTAGGGTATCATGAACACTTGCTGTTCACATGTGATCAGTTATCTGGAGACATGCAAGATCACAATGCTGAGGCAAAGGAGAGAAAATTACAAAGGCTCGTGGAAATTTCAGTATAAAAATTCAGTATTAATTCCCAGAAAACTACATTTTGGGAATGGAATAAAATGCCTAATAAGATTTCACAGGAGATTTGAGAGTCCACTGTGTTTCAGTCTTTTTCTTTAACAGGTATTTCAGTAAGTTTTAATCTCATGTATATCATTCCCATAAATACCTACATCTGTTTCATGTCATTTACTGATCCAGTATGATATTCCAATGCTCAGTTCATGGAGTTTCCTTTCCCCCTTGCAAACAACAACATATTATTTATGATTCCTTCAGCATTTCCTTCTTTGGGGTTTATCTTGGCTCTTTCAAATTGCATACAATTAGCTATTATGTGCTCTTTGTGTATGCATGGTAGGGGATATGGAGAGGTTGAGGAAACCTTTACAAAATAAAGTTTATATCTATTGCAACAGTTGTAGAACAGTAAAATGCAAAAATTCTTCAGAGCAAGAAGAAAAAAAACCCCAACTAACATGCACTTCATGAAGTTGTTGAGTTACAGGTAAAGTAATTAGCTGTGACATTGCTGGCTACAGCCTTTAGGACTTAAGAAGTTTCTAAATGGTTCTGAAAGAAAAGAAGCAGAAAATGGGGGAGACGCTCTGGATACTTGAACCTGCTTCTCAAAGAACTAACATGGTTTGGGTCCAAGTACAGTGAGTATGATTCGTGGATTCCTCTCTTATCTCAGAAAGTTCGAGGAAGGGACATCCTCTGGCCACCATCCCCCACCAACCCACGCTGAAAAATAATTCTAGTCTGGATTCCCAAGCAGACTCCCCCACAACAGTCAGATTCAGAGTGACTCAGTTCAGAAAGGAAACTTAGAACTGTGAAGCCATTTTCATTAAAACACGTGAAAAATAATTACACTGAACCCTTCAGAGATCACTTTGTTTGAAAATATTTTGTGTGCTTGACAGTTTTGACTATTAAACTCTAGAAACTGACAATATTTGAGACCTCTGAAGAATTAAAGTGAGTTATGAAAGTCACAAACTGCTGACAAAAGGATTCAATATTGGAACGTGGATTTAACATGTGATGCACATTTGATATTGGTGAGAGTTAGCGACTATGTTTGATAATATGAGTATATATTGGAAAGCCTTTTGTTCCCTAATGTGTCTGGTGCCTATAAAACTGGTCAGAGACATCTGGAAAGATTGGGTTTGAGAAATACAGATGGAATATAAGTGGTTCTACAATTAAATAATATGTTCAGCGATCGGGTAATCGCTATGTAGACTTGGAAGTTTCCCTGATGTATTGTTGAGCAAACTGCCTAAAGCACATTTTAACATCCATTTTCTCAGTGTTTTCCATAACTCTGAAACTCATATGGCCCCTTTTTTCCTATCTTCTGGGAATACAAGCTTGGCAATATTACTTAGTTATTCTAATCAGGTAAGTTTTCTTGGCTCTTCATGTTAATCACATCAGACAAGATCACAGTGCAGTTTTTGCCTTGCAAAATGAAACAGAGTAACACTCTAGAAATGGAATTCATAACCCTTCCTTAAACCTTCTCTATTGTACTTTCTATCTGATGTTTGAATTTATTAGCAAACAACCTGCCTCATCCAGATTTAGCAAGCTGTAACACACCCTTTCCCCAGCTACTAAAGCAGGTAACCAGGAATTTAATCCAGCAGAATGAATTTTCAGTGCCCTTCAACACTGAGGCCAGGGAAGGTGGAATTTCTGCTAATTCAGTAAGTGTAAACTGTGAGTGCTCTACAGTAAGAATTTGTTAGACAGTGCCTTAAGATTACGAGTGAAATAATTAATGTTGTTAGGTTCTGCCAAACAGATCAGAGCTGCAGAAGACTCAATACAACAGATACTTCTTACACTAAAGCCCTACTCCTTAAACAAGAAAGGCTACAAAGTAGACAACAGGTCTTAGAGTTAGAAATGAGTACCTTAGTCATAATATTGGTATTTTTTACAGGCAATAAAAGACATGAGAATATGAAACACATAGAAGTAGATTGAACAGAAAAGTGATCTGTGCATGACAGGCAAGCAAGTGCCAATGTGTTTGTTGCATAACAATATGCTTGGTGTTCTAAAAAAAGAAAGAAATCCCAAGAAAAAGGCCCACTGTTACTTTCAACCCGACCTAAACCAGAACATGAAAAGAAACAGCAGGTACATGCCTAGGGACATCCAAGAACATCACATACAGCTGGTGTGTGTGTACAGATGTGTCCAACTTTAACGACAAAAGCAATTTTTACCTTACATTTCAGAACAAAAACTAGGAATTGAACATTAACTTCTTTACGGTTAATATAATTTGCTGGCAAAGTGACACAAACCTATAGGTGTACATCATATGTTATTAAAAACATCAATGCAAAAAATCAGGCAGTAAAGCATCTTCACTACTGCCTAACAGAACACAGTTTATAAGAGGATGTGCTTGTGGATAACAACTGCAAATACAATTTCAGAATGGATACAGAGGTTAGACCAAGATAAAAGACCTTGTCTATAGAAAATACTTTTTTTTTTTTAAATTAAATTTTTATTTTGCTGTTAAGAAGGGAACATAAATACTGCCCAAAGGCAGCACTGTTGTTTTGTGGAAGTGCCCCTTCAGAAAAACAATACAGGACTTGCTTACATTCCTATACAGATTTCTTAGTTTGACAACCTAGAGGATCTGGCATGATTTTTCACCTGCTCAGATGGGTGCACCTAAGTTTAGTACCCCTTCTCTCACTTCTAGCTCCTTAGTCAGTGTTATGACAACTTGTAGGGCACAGCCTAAAAGCTTAACAAGAGGTTTTATTGGAAGTATTTCATTACTTCATGGGAAGGCAAAAATGGTTTTGCAGTTCAGATGCACCTGTCTTAAAGAAGCCTTCTCAAAAGTCAGAACTCACCCAAAGAAAAAGGTTGCCTGCTCCAAATGATATTGAATGTAACTATATGTTTTCTGACAGTTCTTTTAGAAATCCAGGAGTATCACAACAGCAACTATCCCAGTCCCATCAAGAATGTAAAAAGAGTCTTGCTGCCCAGATTTCCTGCTCTCTTGTTAAAGCTATCATTTTCAACGGAAACATGTCCTGCCCTAAAGCTGAAATTGATTTTCTGGGGGAAACAACTGCCTTACATTACTGCCTATGCACCATATCATACAGGAAATACTTGGACATCTAAACCTTCCGGGAAAAATTCACATCCCCCCCCTTCATGTTCTATACAGCAATAAAGAGGTCTGGTGATTTACTTCTTAGCAGGGTTTTCATTCTTCTACCATCTTTCCTTAGACACTTCCCAATCATCTGTAAATCACCTAAATATTTCCTCTTTATATATATATTTTTCAATGAAAAAGGCAGAGTGCTTCAAGAAAGCAAGTTCCTAATATTTCTGGCTTTTAATTTGTGTACCTCAGCTCCTTGGAGGAGCTCTACATACATAAGGGTCAGACAGCTTAGTTATTTTCATTTGGTGGTAGATTCAATGTTCTCAGACTCCTGTACCTCCTCCTGTAGATCTCCATCTGTGTGTAGGTAAATTACCATTCACAAAATGAGAACACTCTTTAAAGGACTGAATATAAAAAGTGAGGCCTTGCATCTTTTGCAGGTCTGTTAAGCTGTGAAGATTATTTAATGCTCCTTCCCTAGAAAGCATCTATCGTCCTCAAATAAAATAAAAGCCCCCATACCAAAGGGAATTCTTCGGTATGGGCAAAGGCTGAGGAAACTATGTACAGAACTGATACTTAGCTATTTTTTTCCATTTAGGTTTTCTCTCTCATACACTTATGCATCCAAATCAAGTTTTCTAGTTTAAAAAAATTAAGTCTTTGAACTGAAACCCACAACACTAACTTATGCAAAGCTAGAAAACGTGTGTTCTCCTTTCTCAGCAGCATATTCTCTCTTCTCCAGTTTTTCCTATTTATTGTTTAAATGCTTAGCAGCAAAGGGAGAAAAAAAAATCCAAGTGGACAATGGTTAACTTCTTCCACACCAGACCATCCTACACTAAATAAAGAATTTAGAGAGATGTAGAACTTTCATCAAAAGGCAAATAAAGTTCACAACACATACGATAATGTCAAGAAGCCAGCTCTGATGAGTTTATCATTTTTATGATACCTAGCAACAAGACTGCACAAGTATTTTAGGTTACAGAATATGATCTGTGATACACATATTACTATTCACAATACTGCAATGATGACTTCTAAGCTTAAGCTTCTGTTTTTAAAGTACAGCTGCATCCAGCACCATGGGTGTTTGGTAAAGCAAAAAAATCTATCTTATAATGAAGTGACATGAACAAATCCAGCCTTTTTTTTGCCTCCCAGCCCCTTTTTTTCACCTTTTTCTTCTGTTACATGATGTATGTACTGTTTAACATCTGCACACTTCAGCAGCAATGGGCAGCTAGGGTACTCTGAGTCTAGCACAACTTGATCGAGTGGCTGGAACTTGCCTCGCTGCTGAAAATACATCAAAGGGATTATAAAAGCATTATTATAATGTGAAGACACATATACACACTACACATATATAGAAATATATATGCAAGCAGTGGCCATAGCTTTAAAATAAAGGATTTAAAGAAGATTGTATCTTGAATGGTAACACATGATACATTCAGAAACTGATTACAAAGCAAGCTATAAATATTTATTTCAAACCAGTAAATACCCACAAAATGCTGAACTCTTCAATTACTGCACTTAAAAGACTAAATTTAAAACAACATGGGGAGAAGCTAATGTGAAGTACAGCGTGATTTTTTTGGAAGATGACATAAGACGCAGTAGTCAGTGTGTGCCAACAGTGTTTTAGACCAAAACCTGTTGGATTAAACCCAGTGTCATAACTTCCATTCAAATTTTGCTTTTCCTTCCATAAAGATAAATCTCAAAGGAGCAGGGCAGCTTCTGGAACACAGTTATTAACCTTTCACCTCTGCAAAGTCAATTCCAGTTTGGCCAGAGTATGTATATAAAGTGATTTTGGCACAACTTAAATAGCCCCACACATGACAGAACCATCAAACAAATTTTGCCATTGCCAAACAATGCATAATCATTCAGCATGGTTTGGCACAACTGGCAGCCTTCCCTTTGGAATGATCCTTTAACGCATCAGTACAAAGACTCAGTGAGCTCTCCATCCTTAGAGAGAGCATGGTCTCAGGAGCCAAAGCTGAAGTCATTATACTGGTTAGCATGAAAAAACCCCACTTGTGTATACTGCTTTCATTATTAATTACTCTTCTTGCTAGACAGTCAGAGGCTTAATAAAAGTAATCATCCATTGTTAAATCACAATAACAACAAGCAAACAAAAAAAACCCAGAAAAGATTTAAAGATCTTTTTTCTCCTGAGAAAGAAAAGGCATAATAACAATGGCAAAGAAAGTTACAAGACACAGAAATAAAGCAGCAACAAACTACTTCCTACAGTTAATTTACCTGCACAGACCTGCTTGTGTCCCAGAGCAAGACTGCCACATTTACACTGTGCAGAGGCACAGAGCCTAGGTCAAGAAAGCCTGCTGTATAGGACATGGCTCTGCTCAGAAGACATATTAAGCATCCCTGCATCACACTATCAAAACCATCATAAGATACCCAGTGGGTGCCCTGATATTCTTTAGTTAGGCCACAAGTGATTGTGGTGCATTCAAGCTGGCCTTGCATTAGGTATCTGCAACACAATCCCCAAGAGTTGCCTTTACTGAAGAATATACAAACTTAGGCAGGGCACTGCAGGAACGCTTTTGCCCTGATTCAGGACCCAGAACAGGTCTAATGCATTTATCTGGCATCATGCCTGGCCTAGCAAATCAGAAAACCTAGAAAACAATGTAACAATAAAGTAAAGGGCAGTACAGGGCTGTTCCCAAGCACAGAAACAGCAGCAGTAGCTGTCCTTTGCTCAGGCTACCTTAATATTTTACCACAAAGACAGAGAAGATTTACTGTTTCACTAATTGAAGTTTGGTATAAAGCTTTTGGAGGGATACTGAATTCAAACAGCGCACAGTGCCTAGAGGAGCTAAACTATTCCTTGTGAAATTCTTCTGATGGTCCACTCTGAAGCAGGAACAGACTACAGAAATATAGAATATGTTTGCGCATCTTATACCATAAACAACTTAAAAATAATAACAGAACAATAGGTTACTATTACAAACATGTAATAGGACTTTATTTGTTCACCATACAAAAACTGTTCTGCGTTCTCCACTTGCAATCTAAAGCAGAAAACAGCAAACAACCTTATAGGAAATACTCTTAGAGAAAAAACTCTTGAGATGCATAAAGTGAAATTATTGCCTCCATAAAACAAAAAACAAGGATCAACATTTACGTTTTATTTTATGCTCTTTTTTCCACAGGTAAACCATAAATCAATAACTTTGCCTATGTCTTTTGATACACTTCAGAAATTTGAGTGAGGTTTTGCCACACACATGATAAATCAACTAAGGCATTTATTAATTATCCAACTTTTGGATACTTGATCATCCTGTTTTCTATGATACATCATCTCTACAAATACTGCTTCTAAAAAGGTAACAGTTCCTTTCAAATTCAAGGAAATGTTCCTTCTTCCTCCTCAAATTCTTCTTCCTTTTTCCTTTCTTTCCCAAAATGACACATCTATTGATGCCTCAGAAAGGGCACTAGTTTGTTTTACTCTGATGACATTTCATAATTCACTAGTTCTGTGATAGGCTCACACAAAAGGACAAAAGAGATTCTCTACTCTCTTAAAAAGGAGGTGATTACTTTGTTGAGATTGCAAGCTGACTCCTGGAATATACTTTACTGACCAAAAAACTTAATGCAAATAAAAGCACTTCTAGGGTGGATATCTCTGCTTTAAATGCAAAATTTCCATTATTATGGAAGGCCCTTTTTGTAAAATTAACATAACTTCTGCCGAAAATGAAGTCAGAAGCATGTTCTTCTGAGAATTAAAATAAAGCAGGCTTACCTCCTTGTCTGCCTTTATGAGGTAGTAAAGTACCAGAAATAAGGGGTCCATTGGTGTAACAAACAGCAGGCGCCCATCTAGGTGAGAGATTTATAGAAGGAAACTTAGTACCAAGAGACACAATACATTGACCTTTTATTTTTAGGATGTTTTTCAGGAGTGTGTGCAAGAGGAGAATAATTTTTTTCTGTAAGTATAGCAACATTCTATTAAAATGGGCAGGAAAATAGTATTCATGATTTTATATTAAAAATACAGAACTCAATTCTCAACCCTGCCAAACCAGAGCACAAGTTCCACTGCAGTCTGTTGGCTTCAAGCACTCTTAGTTTTGCTTTTTTCTGGACTATATCAAGAACAGCAAAATTGAAGCTGCCCTCTATTGGCAGATTTGGGTGTAACAGAAACTTGTTTTGGGATACAGATATATCCAGTATACACTCCACCTCAAACACTGGTCAAGGAACACTGTCAAGGCAGAAGAGGTAAGTGGGGCAAGAGAGAGTTACAAGAGCTAGTTAAGTTAGAACAGCCTCTCATCTGTAAGAACAAAATACATAAACCAGAAACTATGGCTCAGTATGTTGGATTCAAAGTTACACACAAAGAACCTGGTCTCTCATTGAAACAGACACCTCCACCCATCTGGAGCTCATTGCAGGACAATGGCTTAGTCAGGCTTTTTGTATAATTGTATATAATTGGAAACAATGTAACATCAAGAAAATTCACTAATGAAACCCAATAACTGATGACAATTTGACATTAATTAGCAAACCAAACACAAATAAATGCAATTTTTTTTGGTTGTTTTAAATCACATGATTAGATAATTAAAGAAAAGGAAATCCTATTGCAATGGCCCTAAAACTAACAAAAGATGGGGTGGGAAGAACATGGTTTGGATGAAGCTGATATCCAATCTAACATCTATATTACTAATATGATGCACTGCATGAGGCAAAGCAAGCATTAGGACTATTTACAAATATGAAAGCTTTGATAATAAAACTGGAGGGGAAAAAAGCCACTAGCCACATTCTCAAAGCTTCCCTTTAAATGCTGTCCACTGTACCTCCAGGAAGACTTATTTTTTTTTCCTTAAAAAGTTCAGCCTTACTGTATGTGTACAAAGACCTCTGCCCTTCTCTGCAGATAACAAGATAATTTGCTTTAACTGCAAACACACAGCTTTTTTTTGTGTTGTTCTTCCCTTGGCCGTTTCAGAAATGCAGCAGCCCTAACATTTAGAAACAACTTTTCTGCCTGTATCTTTTAAGGAAAACTGAGGCGATGATTCCTTAAGGCAACTATTTCCCAAGGGCCAAAATAGAGGTTAGAAAGGGAGGGGAAGAATACAATATGGACATAATTGGAGGCAGCAAGCAGACCCAGTCTTTTGGCTCACCCCCAGATGGAGCAAGGAAAAGCTCACAAGACATACTGCTTGCACTGCTCTATGCACCTGCAGAGGATGTTTAAAAGTTAACACAAGCTTTGGGATATTACTGTTAAAGAAGACATATATCTGGTGGGTTGCTTTTATTTATTACTATAAATGGTCTTTCTTCTAGTTAAAAAGGACAAAATAAATACACTTGCATCTCCTGAATTAATACTTACTGCTTGGTCTATAGACATGCTGGCAAAGAAACACTACTCCAGTGACATCCTTACTGATGAAGGATTGTTAAAGGTGTCACAAGCAGTTACATAAGTTTCCTCCTCATTTTCAGAAAGGTGAGCTAGGATCAGAGAATGGCTGAGATGGTACAGACAACCTTACTTAAGACAAAACACTGAAATTGCACCTTCAGACAGCAGGCCTATCCTGAAATCCCAGCACTCACACAGGGGACTACAGAAGTAATTAAAAAAAAGCAAGATCATACATTCCAATGCCTGGAGCTCTAACACATCGCCGCTCTGCTTAGGCAGCTAAGGCCTTCCAGCCCTTTTTCCCTCACGTAGGATAACACATATTTTACTTACACTGAGGACTTGCTGGTCTGATTGACAAGGCAAGCTAAGTATTTTATGGCACTTCAGTTTAAATACAATTGAATGACTTCCTCCCCCCTCCCCTCCTCTCCTCAAAGACAAATGAACATCTGTCTAATTGAGGCTGCCAAAGGCAGCCGTTTAAAGAGAGACCACAAAGCCCCCAGCCCTGGTTAAATCCAGACGGCAAATGAGCGTGTCAGAAGGTGGGGATGTGATGCAGCATGCCTCAAACAACTAAGAAAAACACCTGTAAATTTACTAGAAGAAAGAGGGAAAGTCTGTGTATGAACATTAGTTACAGTTGAGGGAAGGATATGTTATATTACTCACCTTGTTGAACAGTCTGACCTATAAACCAGGAACGATATTCCTCATGAAAAGCTTTTACTTCAAACAGCTGCTGTGCACCACTATTGAATAAGTAAAGGGTTGCTTCCCCTGTTGAAAAGAAATCTGGTTTGTGTTTGTAAGCCTTCGCAAAAATCAAAAGACTATCCAATACATCTGAAGAATGTCCCTTATATACATACAGACACACAAACATACACACATTCTACATAAACTCACTACAAAGAAAGCTCAGACAAAGAAAACTATTATATACAGATGTTCATTTACCAGCTCTATAAACCAAACTGAATTTGAATCAATAAATAAGATGTGTGAATAGTTCATCTTACAACACAAAGTCTTTGATCCAAACCCAAATCAAAATCACTCAAGAAATCAGCTTTTGTCTGACTGAAGGGGGAAGGTGGAAAACAAGAAAATTCATTTCATCATGTTTGTCTCCAAGATATCAATATCAGACTCTGAGTTAGGGGAACAAAAGTCTCCATCTTTCAAGTGACTTTTTTTTTTTTTTCATCAAAATGAATTGATGATGATTCAGTATGGGTAGACAAACAAGGTGAACAAGGAAGCTAAAAGAAGTTGCTTCAAAGTGCCCATCAGAATCATGATAGTTTGGAAAGGAAAAGGAAAGCTCTATTTTACGCCACTCCATAGCACAGCTCCACCATTTCACATTAGTTCTGGGTTATAATGAAAGGGTGATGACTGGGTTGCAAATAGCAGTTTCCATACCTAAACCAGAAAGTTGCCAGAACTACTGAAGGGGCTAATGAAATTTGGTCAGCTGAGTCTGCTGGCTTGACTGGTCCTGTCTTGGTTATCAATCCACCTTCAAGACACAAGAACAGCTACAACATGGCAATCCTGCTCAGAACACATAAATTGCAAAGCTGTGCTGACTTGCAGATCATGGGCTGGCTCAACAGTCTCAGTGTAAGCTCCTGCAAGCTGACATCAGCACTGCTGTTCTCAGTCTGCAGAGATTCCGAGGTACAAAGGCAGGTCAGCTAAAATGGGCAGACACATCTCTTCCCAAAAATGACTTATAATGCATTCTTCCCCCTTTATCCAAAAGGCTAACCAGATGTTTAACCTGACCTAAAGATACAGTTTCAGTTCTCTGATAATTTTTCTTTTGGGGAGAGGAGTGAAGAGTAGATATAAGGGGGAGCAGAGGTTTCAATCATTACCATGTGCTTTTCAACAAGGGTCTACACCATAGTTTGATCAGCACCAGACGTCAAAACTACTCACAGAAGTGCTCACTGAACAACTTAAGACTCCTACCAGTGAGTGCGCTGGCCAAATGTGGTGGTGAGCTATGAAATCTTGGAAGAGGGACCACTCCTATTGCCTAATTCCAGATCCTTAATTTATTTGCTTATGTTAAAATGACAGTCACCACAGCTTCCCAACACTATCATTAGACACAAACTCTAGGAGGTGGAGAGAGAACCTAGGCAGTTTTGCTCACAACTTTACCAATTCAACTAGTTGCTTAAATCTTGTGGTATAGTTATTTCCCTTCTTTTTGTTCAGCACTTGAAAAATGCTTCTTTTGGTACTGCTGAATTGCAGGCTGAACCCTAGTTTACAGTCTTTGTAAGGGATAGAAATTTTGTCCTTTTTACCTGTCTATAAAAAAGACCATACATACTTTTATTTAATTAAGTGGCTAGCACGAATTCTATAGTGTGCTGAGTACTTCAGTGCATATTTATACAATATCTGGCATCAACAATTCATCTGTCAGACCCAAAAGTAAGGAAAATACATTAATAGGACTGTTCTCAGTCCTTCCATTTTCAGAACCTATAATAGGCTACATAACTAAAAGTTTATGCAGGTCTATAAATAAGCTCCTGCAAATTCTGAAGGAACACACCCAGGCAATCATTGTACTTTAGGTTTTCCCCAGAAACCTTTCCCAAGATCTCTGTTTCTACAAGGTAAACAGATCTCTTCTTCCACAGAGAAAATCAAAATTAATATCTACGCTTTTAAAAACATAATGAATTAGAAAGCCAATATAATACAGCAGGTGGAAAATATCCATGGCTATATGTTCCCACTGCAAATGTGAACAATCAAAAAACAGGTATCATGATGAATGATTTCACATTCTATATCTTTTTTTTTTAAGTTATTTTCCTCTTTCAGGAACAAGTAGCAGTTACTATATTGTGACATTAAAATGTACCTGAAGACTTTCCTTACAAACATATATAAATATCATCAGTGTATTTCAAAACAAAAACATACAACTTAAATCTATAGAAAATAAATGAGCTTGTGAAAAGAAAAAAAACAAGCATGAAATGTGTTTTTCAAACAAAATGTTAACCCTAACAAGTTTCTGTTGCAGTATCTCATGCTCCAATTATTACATTGCTCATATAATAACAAATCCTTGACAAAAAGAACAATCTGACTAAAAGAAAGTAACTGTGGGATAGCAGTGTCATTATATTGCCTGCGTTTGTTGGTCCTTCCAAAGTATTTTGAATTCAGAGTGCCTCACCATCTATGAATGAGGAAAGAGACACCACCACTTGGACCAGGGAAAGAAGAAAATTAGATTTAAAAATTAAGCCTCAAAAAGCTTGGTAAGTATAACCGAATCAGTTCTTCTAACTTTGACTATTTATTTTATAGCATAAGATGAATGCTATGGAGCCTAAATTTGAATTAAAAAAAAGCCCAGGCTCAACACCCAACACTCTGAGCTCCCCAAAACTAATGCACTTATAAACAGAACTTAAATTACATCTCTTTTTTGTGCTGCCAATATTCCTGACGAATAAACAGTTCATCCAATTAAAATTATAAAAGAAATCCTAAATGTTTGCACAGTATTAACTATCTGGCATCACCACCAGTGTCTTTGGCACGTAAGACTTAAACTCTCACCATTATTTCAGCTTGCAAAATATGAATCTTTTGGTGGTGTAGGTAATCAACCAGAATATTAACAGGCTCATGTCACAATTCCAAAACTTGCCTGTGCTTGGATTGCGCAGTTTTGTAAACAAAGGTTCGCTGTCAGGTGTCTTAGGGGGGTCAGTAGCGGCCTCTGTAGGGGAAGAGGAAAATGTTATGAGCTTGTAAATTGAGAAGTATTTCACATCCTGCCATGCTTATCCGAGACATTCAGAATTAATTGGACTGACACTTTTGAAAACTCATCTGTTTTCTGCCTAAAAGTTATATGCCTCAGCCCAAATTCATCCTACCTGATCAAGGCACCTAAATTATGATTCCAGACTTCCTGGCACTCTCTATCTGCCACAGGAAAGATATGCACCTGGGCACAATTTAGATTTTGAAAACCACTTCCCCCCTAGAGAGTCTTAGGCAAGAGAGCTCCTAAGTTTGACAGCCCAGTTGAGTGAGATGTACTGATATGTTGCCCTGATTAGTCACAAAGACCATGAGAATGGTTTGGTAAGGCCAAGCACAGTGTGAACATAAAAAAAAGCGCAAAAAGGCAAAATATTTGTGGTAAGAAACAGTGGTCCTCTAAAGCTTTCAGAAAGTCAGGTTATGCAGGAATATGGGACAGGAATTGTCTGAGTTGTTGTTACTTCTGTGAAAGATATGCACACTTGTTTATCTGTTATGTATAATCTTGAAAAATAAAGAGTACATATAATTCCTCCCACAGGAAAAAGAAGCCGAGAGAATACAGCACCTCTGTCTTAAGTCTCTGACAGTTGTTCTCTTTGCTGTGTCTTTAAGCAAAAAAAGACAAAAAGCAAAGTCATAAAAATACAATTTCTCTGTGCAATGAAAAAAAAAAAATTAGAAAGGAACCAGCTCCCACAGGGATGCTGATTCAAGTCTGAAAAAACATCTATAAGGATCCCCAGTTGATTATACTCTATCCAAGTTCTCTTTGTAGGGAAAGCCTAACTCTAACTTATATTTATGAAAACAACTTCCCACATCTGAGTGAAGAGCAACATGACAGCATCATCTTTCTTAGCTTGCACACTGCCAGTTCTGTCCCAATTCCTTTCATATAGGCATTCATCAGAGCAAGAAAAATTACTAAAGCATTTCTCATACATAACCAGTATCCAGACCCCAGAGAATGGACTGACAGGAATCGGGCTGATGTTTGCGTTATGGTGCTGCTGAGGAAAACAGAGAGGAGAAGCAGAGGCGGGCTGTGCAGCTATTCACAGGGAAAGCTGTTGGAAGGAACAAAAGTGCCACATTGTCCTTCCCCTTTCAGTAGCATCCAGGAGATTTGTGGAGATAGCACAGTTCTTTTCTATGGAAAACAGGGAAGTGGGAACCTCAAGTACAACCAAAAATAGCTGTCCTTCACTCTGGGTGAAAGCCTATCCCCATCATATCTGGAAAGGACAGGTGGACTTCTCACAAGCTGTTCACTGGTGTCTCAGTGGCAAAAAAAGCCCCAAATAACCCTCTTCTTTCACATGCACTCCTGGTTATTCAGTTGTGTCAAAACCAGAAATTGCCCCGATAAAGACGTAAGAAGACCTTAAAAAGCAAGTGCATTTTGCAATAGTGTTGGAGGTTAATAGTTCTCAGACAGGTTCACAGAATTTACATTTTCTTTCCCTGAATTTTTAGCTGAGTCTTCAGGTGCCTTGAAAAAGTGCTTAAAAACGTTTCAATATAAGTTGAGGGGTTTTAATGGAAAAAGTCCGTATTTTCTAACCAGACTTGCTTCATATGCTGATACATAAACACACACGGTTGTCAAGCTACATTTGCCCTGGCAAAGGCGAACTTCAAATTTCTAGAGCTGTGTATATTTCAATTCTTGACCACAGTTTAACATTAGCGTATTTTTTGTTACTTTTAAAAACACTACAGTGATTAATGACAGTGAAAGAAACACACTGCATGTGTTTACTTTGATGTGTTTCACATGAACATGTTAAAATATACACACTAAATGTGAGTTTCAAAATTTAAAACAAAAAGCAAACCAAAAAAAACCCCAAAGGAACTTTTAGCGCTCACTTGCTATGCTTTCTTCATGCATAGATTTATGAACACTGGGAATGAGTCCAGCTGAGCCCTAAGATGCATCTTGTATAATGTGAACAATTAAGTAGACAGTCTGTCCTTATATAGCTGTTTTTAATGAAGTTCACATATTTATTTAGTTGATGCTCTTTTCCTAACCTTTCAGTAACACGCTGAATTTATCCATCCCCACTAAGCCTGGGAGACACCTGCAGTTAGGGAGAATTCAGTGTAACAAAACCAAGGGATACAGTGTCCCATCTCTTCCTCACCAATCCTCTGCCTTCCCAATCCAGATAAACGCCCTCCATCATTAAGGCCTGACCCATGCTATCCCAGGCTCAGCACCCTCTGCTTTGCCCTTTTGGATATGCAGCCTGGCCCTGGAGCTGCCTTGGCTCAGCCAGTAGCTCTTGCCCATGTGAAGAGAAGCACAGCTCTGCCCATTTAGTCCTGAAGTCCTCCCCAAGCTTCATGGGGTTCAATGCTGCACAGAGGACAGCAGCAACCATACCCTAATGAACAACAGCCTTCAGTCCCAGTATCTCATGCTGAGGGGATCAGAGTGTATGTCACATTCTCCACGCAGCTGCCACAGAAGATGGTTTACCAGAAGGGTCATGTACACGTGCAAACACACAAGAAGAAGGAAAGGACGGGGCAAAGGCAAAAGTGGTTTCTTTTTCTTGCACCTTCAGTTTCCTCAAAATGTAGGCAATACCCCAGTTCACTTCCAAGGGCATCTGAAGTATATTTTTGTTACAGATTGTCTCTACTAGATGTCAGGCTGGCAGATAAAAAGAGGCAATTGGGAGAATGCCATCTTGGAAAACTGGATGCAGTATTAATGTGGCCTTAAGGGCAAAGAAGGTCCTATTTATCCTAGTTTAAACAGTTCATGACTAGGAATACGCTGAGCAAAGGATTTTTGAAGTTAGGTGTCCAAAACTAACTTGTGTGTGTTCTGGCCTTTAACCAGGAAAGGTAACTGGATTTCTTTAACATCATTACATTTATCAGTCCTTGTATTTGGGCAAGGATCTCTTGTAGTTAAATAAATAAAGACTTTTTAAAAAGCAGTACTGTAGCAATTTTCTAGCAAAGCTAAGAGTTAAACTAGGTGGTTTTTGGTGGTTTGGTTTTTTTTTTAAAGATTCATATTCAGATAAGAAATAATCTTACAGAAAATAAGCAGACAAAAGGGACATTACAGGAAGAGCTTTTTTGTTAAATCCTAAATGAAAACATCAGATGATTGCCTCTACATGTATTATGACAGTTTGCACAGCTCAGCCCAGAGAAACTTGTTCATCTACAAGAATAACAACTGAGAAAGGTAAGACCTTTCTCACTGAGTATTATACTCTCTACCAACTGTCCTGCAGCTGTAAACTGCAGGTAACACACAGGCAGTAAAGATCAGTTTACGAACAGATGTGCCAGTACAGTAAACTATTCTCCTAGGACAACATTCCCTACAAGGATACAAAAAAACTGATACAAGGGGGGCTTGATTAATCTTGTCCCAAGGAGGCATCTCAATTAGCAATCCACTGTCTAAATTGCCAAGGAAGACAGATGACAGGCACTTCCAGGGGGCAGCTGAAATCACCTACAGCCTAAACCCACCTGTATCACCCCCTTTAAGTATATGCCTCTGTCTCCATTGAGCTTACAGACACCTCCAGCAACATAGAATGAATCCAGATGCAGCACCACTACAGCTATTCCAGGGGAGGGAGTTCTGAGGTAAGTACAATGAAAAACAACTAAATACCAACATGCAGCTGATAAGTGTGTCTACTTTGCTGAAGTTATAATTTACTGTTATTCAGTATTAACTAAATTACATAAAGTCCATCTAAAAATATCGGTTATATATCTATCAGTTGTACTGGAGTCTACAGGCAGAACCTCAGAATCTTGAAGCTGAGCGAAAGAGACTATAAAAGCTTAAACAAAGCTTTCCATTACAGAAAAAGAGAAAAGCCTATCATATTTCGTGGAGGTCAGACATACAACCAGGCAAATTCTATAAAATATATAAACAGAACAAAGTGAAAATGAACCAGCTGTCAAAGGATTTCTGGCAATAATTTCTTCCACAATGGATAGATATGAGGCACTAATGAATCTGGCCGTTAAAAAAAAAAAGTGTTAGTGTTAGCTGGTACAGCAACATGAATAAATTGGAAAAGAACATAAAACTCCCACTAAGATCTATGAAACTGTTATAGATGATGCAAGGTCTGTTCACTTTTTTTTTTAATTTATAAAAATTGCTTATAGAATACTATATGTAACAGACTAATATCAAGTTATATGGAATTCCCATGCAAAAAGCTGCCAGCCAAGCAAGCAAAAAGGCTGTAAATATCTGTCAATTGCGTAAGAGGAAAAAACCCTCTGAGAGCACAAATTTCCCTACCACCACCACCCTGCAAAAAAACAGGATTATTTAAAAGTCTGGAAATATAAAGTTAAGATTTCATTTAAAAACAGATATTAAACCATACGTCACCTACACAAGTCTTTTCCATTCCCTTCTTAACTTCTAACCATGCACGAAAGGTGTGTCAGATGGAGACATTATGATGGAGTCCATTAAATGGACATTTTATGGAAGACTTTAAACTACGCAGCCTAAAGGTACAGATATGTTAAATGTAATAATAATTTTATTTATGTTCTTTATAGAATCAGTCAACCCTGAAGTAAACTGTTCTAATTCAGTGCCTGTGTTCTCTGTCCTGCAGCATGCCCTGAAAAAAGCCCTGTGAAAATTAATTAAATTCAGTACTTTGTATCACCCAAACTTTTGACAATTTTTATAAATTACAAGGCAATTAACTATTAGCATAACGAATGAATTCAGATATGCACAGGATGAAGATACAGTTTCATGAATGGCTTCAAATGACCAAAGATCACAGGCCACTGAAAAGCGCAATCTCCAAGTCCCCGCCTCTGATCTCTTCCTGTTGCACATCTCTGCTCCTTTCTTTCCGTCAAAACTAGCAATCTTGTGGCCACACAGCAAGTCACCTCAGTTCACTGATCCAGCTGAGAAAT